TAGTAGTAGTAGTAGTAGTAGTAGTAGTAGTAGTAGTAGTAGTAGTAGTAGTAGTAGTAGTAGTAGTAGTAGTAGTAGTAGTAGTAGTAGTAGTAGTAGTAGTAGTAGTAGTATAACAAACAATAACAACCGCACAGGTCGCCACAGCCGAGATTTTACACCTTGGGCTTGTCGGTATAGTATTCATTTATTTTAAGTCTAGGCACATTTAAAAAAAAAGGAAGAGAATGTTTTTTGCTTGAACAAAAAGTCATATGCAAAATGAACATGTCCCTAGTCTGTCTAGTTAATTACGAGACTTGCTGAACAATCAGCTGCACTTCCTTGTACTTCTTTTACGAGTTGACTAATCTTTTAGAGATCAAATGCACAAAAGGTACTAAATTCGATACTAACTTAAGCTATCAGAGTATCAGTTGACGTGCGTTCTACGTGACTCAGTCCCTAGGGTAGTGTTATATTTTGGGCGCATCACAAGTATACATTTATTGTAAATCTTGCACATTGAGTAAATGCCAAAAAAAATATGTTCTCCTTTTTTCATTTCCTTTCAGGGATTTGGAAGTGCATTTGCACGGTATGACCAAAGAGACATGAGCTACCTATAGTTTCACTAAATTACAGATACAAAATTAGGCACAATATGACAACGACGAGGGAGGTGTAAAATGAAACGCAGTTCATAATAATAAACTGCAATAATAAACAACGACAAAGTGTTTATATTCATGATTCCAAAGTCGGGTATTAAGGTTAAAGACAGCTTTCTCCTATGTGGACCTGGACGTAAAATGTTTCAGATATAATACGTCACGTGTAATTATCAAGTAATTTTTCTGAGTCAAGTAAGTTGTATCTTTAGTTCGAAAACTTAACCTACGTGGCCGGCGATCGAAGGGGAAGGGGATATTTTAGGCGCAATCGAGAAAAACGGGTTACCTAAAATAGAATTCGGATACAATGAAGCACGTAGGACTTAGTCACGTGGCATATACTCTGCTAGATTTTACTCACTAATATAAGAAGGAGCTTTTCAAACTTTTGTGTAACTTCATCGACTCTATCTCTAAAAGACATCTCGTCGACTCGTAAAAGAAATGCAACGAAGTCCTGCTGAAGGTTACCAACAAGCTTCGCTTTCCGAGCAAAAAGTGGACGGGGACGGTGAAGACTTCATCCAAACAGATGTCTGCCCCAAAGCTGGAGATGTTATCTTGGATTTAGGCTGCGGTACAGGAGAACTGTCTGCATACCTAGCTGAGTTGGTAGGACCCGATGGAATGGTTACTGGTGTTGATCCTGACAAGGAACGAATTCAACTGGCCAAAGAAGCGCACAGTCAAATCGAGAATCTCTCGTTTGTAGAAGGGAGTGCCATAAACTTCCCAGGAATTGGTGCTAAGATTACGACATCATTTTCAGTAAATACGCCCTTCATTGAATGGCAAACAAGCAACAAGTCTTCAACAACATAAAGTCTTAAGGTTGGAGGAAAAGTAGCAATTCAATACATGTCCTAGCTACCCTTGTTTGATTACAACGCTTACGTGCTACTAAATCCCGAAAACGCAGAGCGCATTTTTCGTTTGTTTCATCTTGAGTCAAAGACGAAGATCGAGCGGTACTGTTTATTAGCGGGATTTGATGAAATCATTCGGAGTTTTGACACCCACTGCAAGGGGCTTGTTTTTGAAACCGTTCAGGAGTTTCTCGAATGGCAATGGTCGACTACATGTGGCCTGTTTGATCCTTCCCTTGTCACTGAAGAGCGATTGAAGAAGTATCTGGGTTCTGGGTCCCTACACTGATGAAGACGGAACGCTCTCTCTCGACTTTCGGGGAACGAAACATGAAAAGGTTACTGCTTGCCGACTGACAGCCGTTAAGAAAGACAAAGAGCATTTATAAAGAACCCTCTTTTACATAAACTTACAGTGTATGACTCTGTTATATTTCTTTTTGTTTCACCTAATTCATTCGTAGGTGCGGTGTAAGGCTATTTTTTTGAACAAAGTGTCTCACTGCAGCGTAGACTCTGACTTTTAGTTGAAAAACACGAACTTTATGCCGTAATACATTGAATAAATGTGAATTAAAATTAAAGAACAAGTATTGTTCACTAACAAGAAAGTACTTCTCTTACGGTCTTGATCAAAACAAATTATGTGCTGAGTTTCTTAGATTATAGGAATATACATAGCCAGTTTGTACTGTTAAAAATTTGAGCCAAATGATCTGGTACAATGTGATTCTTCAATGTATACATTATTGTGGCTAATTGCCTTGTCCTTCGTGTCTCAAGATTATCCCACCCAATTTCACCCACTATCTCAACTGATCGTCTATCGCAACTAGAGAAGGTTATCATCCTGGGAGCTCTGTTTTCCCAACAGCTCCCCCACATTATACTACAATACCGTATACGTAAAATTCCGAAAATAAGCCCGTCCATGTATAAGCCCCTCCAAATATAAGCCTCCCAAACCGCTTACGCAAAAAACCCTCCGTTAAATCGCCCCTCCAAATATAAGCCCCCGGGGACTTGTACTTGCAAAATTGCCCTCAACTAGAAAGTAAAACAAAGCAAAA